GTGCTCTCTTCAGGCTCTGTTCATCTAGTAGACACTCTTGACCCCACTCCTGACACTTCTCACCTCTCATTTTCCTTTCCTGTGGATTTGCTGAAGATAAATGAAGTCAGTGTTTGCTTCTAGGCACCCTAGTTGTGAGATCTTGCACAATGACCTGCAATGTGACAAAGCTTCAATGAAGGGAACAACCACAAACATGTCTAAGTCACGATCCCATTGCTCAGGAGGCTGTGAACCTGAAATTGGCAGAGAAGCTTGCCTCTGCCATTAACTATGTGAAATTTATCTTGGAGTCTCAGACATTTTCATGGCAGACTCTCTCTCCAAACCAGAGCAGATGCTCCATCTGTCTGCTCCCTCAGAATCCTGCATTTCCTGTTGTAACATTTATCACATAGTAATGGAGTCTTCTGTGTTTTAGATCTTTTTTCTTTGTTGTTTACTTTTTTGTCTCTCAGAATACATGACTAAGTTTATCTCCTTGTAGGAGTTATGAATGTGTTGCTCACCAGTAAATCTCCAAAATACAATTACTGCCATGTAACAGATATTCAATGAATAAATTCTGTATGTTTCCTTTTCTTTCTGGAATGTTGAATCTAGTGAGAGAGCAGCTTTTAGTAAAGAATATCTGTTAAATCCTTGTATCTCCTGTGAATCTCTTTTTACTCTCTCAGGCAGTTTGGCCTTCTCGTATCTATATCCTGCAAAAGACGGATGAATTTCTCAGGAGCAGATATTCTGTCTTACTAATCTTTGCATCCATGTATATGGCCGAAAGCTTACAGTCCCTATATACTCACTGAATGAATGAGTGTGAATAACTACCTGGTAGGAAGAACAGTCTCAAAGGGAGGCTAGACTAGAGAAAAGAGCATGACAGAAAACAGGACTGAGGGTCACCCAATACATTTTTGGTAACTCTAGCAGCTAGTGGGAGAAGAGAATGAAGGAACATCATGTCTGCTGGAATATTTCATGTTGCTACTTAAGATCACTAAGTTTCCATGGTAGATAACTCAGGTGCCGCAGACTGTTCCAGGAGAATGCTGATCCCTTTTTGGTATTTGTCAGGTCTGCATCCATTTAAGGAGTTTCCTCTGGGGGCCCAAGACCCAAGGGAGAAAAACAGATAGTCTTATAGTTACAAGTGCAACAGATGCAGAGAGTAGTCCTGAGTCAATTAGAAGAGGATAGGAAAGGTGTGAGTGAGGAGGGAGAAGACCTCAGAGGCTGGGAAAGAAGCTACAGACAGCAAGGGACCAGTAAGTTGCTGAAAGCCCCTTGATTTGTGGATACAGGCAGCCAGTCCAGTGACCTCCCTGACATCCTTTATCTAGCAGGTCTCTAAGTAGGATTATGGGATGATAACCCATCATCCCAGGATGATGGTGGGTCTGTGGTTAGAGCTGCTGCTCCATGGTATCTCTCCATGATCATTTTGGTTGGAAAGAGAGACCAGAATGTGTGTCTAGGCTGGATTTGGGAGTGGAGTGATACAGTATTGTGGCTGGCAAGGGATCATAATCTCAACAACTGTCCCTCCTCCCCCAGTTGATGTGACTTCTAACACTTCAGAGCACTTTTTTCCACACTCCTATTAAGCCCAGTAGTTTCCCTGGAGAGGAGGCAGGCAATAGGGGAAAACCTTCCATCACAGAAAGAAGCTAATGTGCAGAGGGATTTGTTCCCTTCACCAAAGTGATGTAGCTGGTGCATCCAAAAACCACTTACAAGCTGCAAGTCCCAACCTTCAGCCTCTCACTCCTCGCAGTTGTCCTATCACTGACTTATGTCCACTGAAGGTGTGGAGGGAGGACCTGTAGCCGTCATATGGTGGATCATGGTTGTGGAGAATTTTCAATAAGAAGGCAGCACTGACAACTGCAAATAATCATCATCTACATGTGGTTCTAACGGCGCCACATTTAGAACCACAGATAAACAGCTCTATAACCTAACGATAGTGTCGTCGTCCCAGTTTTCCAGACGAGGAAACTGAGACTAAGCAAGCGGCTTGCACAGTCACCGAGCTCGTCAATGCTGAAGCTGTGCTTGGAGTGCAGATCTGATTCTCGGGTCGAGAGCTACGTCCTCCACCACCGTGCTGCCTAATGAAACCCTGTCTAGAGTTGAGAAGCCTGAACAAAGGGCTGTGAGAGACCCAGCTCCCCATCCTCTCCCTGTTCCTAATGCTTCCCTGCATCAGTCCCCTGGTGTCTGACCGCCTCCTCCTCCACTTCCCATCCTCCCTGCTGCCTAGACCTGCCCTTTCTTTCCTGTTGTCTAACAAGAGATTCCTCTCCTCAGGCTCCCCTCTTTTACCTGACTCCCCACTCCACCTCTCCACCTCTTTCTCTGTTTCTCCCTCTGCCTCTCGACATCCACTCTGAGTCCCTGAGCTTCCTGCCAATGTATCGCTTGGCTTTCCCCTTCACAGTTCCTCAGCCCGTGTTTTTACCCCCTAGTTTTCTCTCTGTCTTTCTGTCATCCTCCTCCCTCCTCTCAGTCTTTCAGCAAAGTCCTTCCCTCTGACCTTAGCTTCCCCATTCTCCAGGCCCTTCACCCCATCCCTTTCTGCCTCGCATCCCCCCTTATTTTCTGCTCCCCCATTGCTTCAGCTAAGTTACACAACCCCCTTTCTCCATGACACTTGCAATCTTTCATAGAAGCTTTCATCACCCCTTTCTTCTTTCACTGTATGGTCTTCCCGCCTCCCCTGCTTCTTGTGCTGCGTCTGAGGACAGGTGACGCAAGAGTTAAGAAACAAAGAGAAAGAGTAAAGACCAAAGATGGGACTAGGGGACTCAAGATCTCATGGGTCCAGAGTCCCGAAAGCCTGGTCGACATCATATTTATTAGGAGTATACAGCTCAGAAAAAAATGCTATCAAAGAGGTGGGGCTTTAGATATCCCACGCGATAAGCACCAAGTTCTGCTTGCTGTTTAACTGAGTAATTTCAGGCCCATCCCTTCCAGGAACAATCACCCTCCTCGGGGTATGCAAAATTTCTAAATCTATCCTATTGTTGCCTCCGGGACATCTTGAGATAGCAAATATGTCCCCTGGGCTTAACCGCATGCTTTCATGCCAGAACAAAATTCTGTTAATGGATGATCTGGTTTTCCAGGACCATCCATTGTTTCATCCTAAGGAAGTATCTGCCCTCCTTCATGCGCTTATGGTCAATCTCAGGATTGCTCACACCAAGTTTTCTTTAGCATAGTATGTACCATAGGTCATCTACTGCATAACACATTAAAACAAAGCAAGCATGTGCATGTTAAGCAAGCAAGTGTGAATATAATATTTTAAGCTCATGGAAATTCAGGAGTGGCTTGTTTTCCAGCTGTTCGTTTTCCAGCGGCTTGTTTTTGAGCAGCTTGTTTCCCAGCATTCTTGAACCATGGTTACCTCCATCTTTGCCTCTCAGCATGTTTTTATTAAGTCCACCATTTTACTGTCTCTCATTCTCCCCCATCTGACCCTCACTATACTTTCTTCTGTTGCTCAGCCTTATCCTTCAGTCTGTCCCTCAGCCTTGCCTTCTGTCTTTCAGTGTAAACTGTGATCTCTTCCTCAGGATCCCCTTTTATCACTGTCCCTGAATTCCTCCCTCAGTAGATCCTCAGTTTTTCAAAGGCATATGGCACCTTATGCTGAGATCCAATACTCTCATTTTAAAGAGGAGATCGGAGTTTATTTCTGTATAATAAGAGACAGTACAGACAATGGGAAAAAAATTACAAGAAAATCAGTGTTTGGTTTGGGAGCAGTAACATTTATTGTTTATTACATTCCAGACCTGGCACACAGTGTGCCAATTAAAACACATTCATTCTTTGATTAGAAGGCATCATTACCATTATTTTACTGGTGAGAATACAGAAGCAAATATTATATCAGACACTGAGATCCGGCATAGCAGGGCTTGTCTTGTGAGCCTCTCGCCAGGTACCCCTGCATTTTATTTAGTATTTAATAAACTGATTTGAGCAAGGAACAGGCTTTGTCTTTGTTGCTTTTTTTTTTTAACATTTTGTTTTTAAACTCTTTTTTTTTTTTTTTTGGCAGGGGGAAGTAATTCATTTTACTTACTTACTTAGTTTTTTGATGGAGGTACTGGGGATTGAATCCAAGACCTCATGCATGCTAAGCATGTGCTCTACCACTTGAGCTATACCGTCCCCTTGTCTTTGTTGCTTCTGTTTCAAGGTACACATTCTGATAGTTGCTTTTCGCAATACCTATTTAGGAAACATTGCTCTAATAAGTTTACCTGATTTATTAAAATTTTGTAAGTTGTGTCAGACATCCAGCTTGGTTTTTAAGGAGAGATATCTTTGAAAACACAGAGACCAAAACAGAAACAGAAACAGAAACAGAAACAAAAAACTAAGGGAGCAGGCACATCAGTCCACTCTTAAATTAGATTTGTTAAAAAAAAAAAGAAAATTTCAGGACTTAGAGTAAAGGTAACAGCTTTTAACAATGAAGACTCTACAGGATGAATTAGTGTGACTCAGTGAGAGGAAGAACGAGGTTCCCAGAGGACTTGAGAAGATGCTTAAGGCATGAGATACTCACTAGTGAGTTCTGGGTTCTTTGAAAGGGGTTGAGCTTAGAGAGAAGCAAGATACAACTTCTCCCAATCATACAGACATGTGGAAAGGGTCACAGAATGACAATAAGGAGATAAAGTAAAGAGCAAATTGCATGAGGAAGCTCTCTACAGGCATCCTCATTTTGCTTAGAAAAATTAGAGATAAATTCTTCTACAGAAAAAGCTTGAAGGGGTAAGGCCAAATAGAGAAGGCAATTTGGGAGTAACAACATTTCTGAGCATCTGAGCATTCTGTGAAGGTTGAGCTATATAGATTTTTCTAAGAGAAGTTTAAAAAAAAAACTGCCTTTCACTAGCTGGTCCAAAAGAAGAGCAGAGAAAACCCTTGTTGATGTTTAATGTCACAGAGGTAAGTAAAAGACTCGGTGGGAATAAGAGAAAGAGGGAGAAAGCAGGAAAAGGACAGACTGCTTATGAAGACAGGGGTTAACTGATAGGTCACTGAGTCCCCGAGCGTGCAGAGAGCCCAGGCCGGCCAGCTGGGGACTGCCACCCTAAGACAGCAGGGCATCTCGTGCTTACTGGCCTAGTAACCCTCAACACACCCGCCACCGCCTTTCACAGAGCGAAGCAGCCTCTGGAGAATGGAGATGTTCACCCTAGCAAGTGCCAACTGGAGTTTCTCTGTGTTCCTGCTGGCAGGCTTCCCAGGTCTGCAGCGGGCTCATCACTGGATCTCACTGCCCACATTTGTAGGACACTTGGTGGCACTGCTGGGGAGTGCCACCATCTGGCACCTGGTACGAACTGACCCTTCCCTCCACCAGCCCATGTACTACTTCCTGGCCATCCTGGCTGTGAAGGACTTGGGCCTGCGCCGGTGCAAGCCGCCCCCAGTGCTGGGTGCGCTGGGGCTCAGCGCCCTGCGTTCTGCAGCAGCACTCCCGCACTACTCCTCCTTCGTGGAGTCAGCCGTGCTCTTTGCTATGGCTCTGGACTGCCTGGTGGCCATCCGATTCCCACTGCGCTATGCGGCTGTGCTCACGGGTCCTCATGTGGCATTGGCCTGGGTCATGCTGGGCACTCAGAGTGCCGCCATCACGGTGGCACCATCACTGCACCTCCTGAGATTTCACTACTGTCACCCTGGGGCACTGCCCCATGCTTGCTGCCTTCACCAGGACATGATCCGCCTGGCCCGCTCTGACTCTGCGAGCTGGGCCTCATGCTGGCCATGGGCGCGGACATTCTCTTCATCCTGCTCTCCTAGAGGATCCCCCTCCGCCCCAGGGAAGAAGGGAGCACTCATCACCCTCAAAGTTGGAAAGCTTGATAAAGCTGCATGTTGCTGAATGTGTAGAGGACGTGCATTTTCATACACTACACATTGTAATCTAAATTAGTGCTGTTCAGTATTCTATCACCGATTTTGGTGTATGTGTCAACTCACGTAGCACATGCTCTTTAACCCAGAAATTCCAGTTCTTAGCGCCGCCCTAGATTCATACTCTTATGCTTCTTCATGGACGCATGGTCTTGAATAAGAATTTTCACTCCAGCAATGCTTGAAATAAGATTAAAAAAAGAAAACTAACTGGCAGTCAACAGGTAAACAGTTAAATGAGTTAGAATCTGTCCGTACTGTGGAATACTTTGCAGAAAAAAAGAAGACCCAGATTGATGGGCTTAAGCAAGATATAGCAAATTATATATATTTATATATATACACATAATTGTTGTATAACAATTTAATCACATATTTTTGTTTGTATCAATTTGTTTGTATCTGTAAAAACACCCCCTAAATTGATAACAATAATAACTCTTTTGAGGGAATCTGTGACAGTGAAGAGAGGAACAAAAGGAATTCTTACCTTATCTGTATTGCTTATAAAATGTTAAGAATAATGCAGTTAACACTTCCTTCTGTTATAAATATATACATAATTATGTATATATGTACAATTATGTATCCACACATATATTTATCTTTACACCAAAAGCCTGTTTAAACCTTGGGACAATTGGAAGCAAACTAGGTACTAAGAGCGAAGCTCTATAACTGAGAATACACGTTGAGAATAAGCCTGGAGGGAAGACATTTGTAAATCAGGAACCTGTAAGGTTCTTGAGGGACGCTGACTTTGGGCAATCACACTAATTCCTCCGCTGAGACCTTACCGGAGAAATGTACTGTGCATAGCTATTAAGAAGATGAAGCGGAAAGCAAAAAGGAAAGTCTGCTAATGCGCAATATCCTTAGTTGGCTGAAGAATTTGAAATGTGAGGTTTCAGAAGCCAACCTGATGTAGACGTTGCAGACCGAGTGTTAGCGGGATAACACAGGAGGGGGAAATGTCCCGAGCACCTGTTTTCTTTGGATTTGTAAGGGCCTGGATCTGTGTCCCTGTCTCCCTCACAGTAGCCTGAAGCGGCTGTGAAGACTAGTTGCACTTTTTGTTTCTTGTTGCTTGTCTCATGCCACACGTCACAATTGTAATGAAGTAATTATCTTTGCACTGTCTTATTTTTTTTATAAGTTTCTCTTGACTAGTACATTCTAAGCTCAGTAAGGCACAGACTGTGTCTTTTCTTCACTAGGTACCCCCACAGTCTCTGGAATATACCAGTGATTCAATAAATATTTGGCAAATAAATTCTTTATTGAATGAATTAATACAAGTCTACATGTATTTCTGTGACCCTTATGTTTATATCATCCAAAAAGAGATAATTTTTTACTTCATCAGGCTATATCTGGATTTTGTTTCTCATCAGTTATTTTTCTTTTAATACATTTTATCTGCTAATTAAATAGAAAGGTGACTGATTTTAATCTGAATCTGATAAATTAATACAATACAATAAAATAAATATGATATAATATGTATGTAGGTATATGTATATATATATAGTAATATACAGGCATGTTTTGTGGGTTAGGTTCCAGACCACTGCAATAAAGCAATTATCACAGTAAAGCAAGTCACACTATTTTTTGCTTTTTGGTTTATCAGTGTCTATAAAAGTTATGTTTACACTATACTGTAGTCTATTAAGTGCACAACAGAAATATGTCTCAAAAACTATGGTGGTTGCTCAAGGCTGGGGTGGCTGTGGCAATTACTTAAAGACAGGCACAATGAAGTTTACTGCATCAACTGACCCTTCCTTTCATGAAGCATTTCTCCTTAGGCTGCAGTGCTGTTTGATAGCATTTTATCCACAGGAGAACTTATTTCAAAGTGGGAATCAGTCCTGTCAAACCTGACCACTGTTTTATCAACCAAGTTTTTTGTTTTTCTGTTTTTTAATAAAATTCAAAATCCTTCAACGTCCCTTACAGCATCTTCACCAGGAGTAGATTCTATCTCTAGAAACCTTCTTTGCTCATCTGTAAGTAGCGGTTCCTTATCCTCTGAAGTTTTATCGTGAGGTTGCAGCAACTCAGTCACATCTTCAGGCTCCACTTCTGGTCCTAGTTCTCTTGCTCGTTCCACCACATCTGCAGTTAGACTTCTTCACTGAAGTTTTGAACCCCTCAGTCATGCATGAGGGTTGAAATTTCTTTCAAACTCCTGTTAATGTTGACACCTTGACCTCTTCCAGTGAATCAGGAATGTTCTTTATGGTATCTAGAATGATGACTATTTTCCAGAAGTTTTTTTTTCTTTTCAATTTTCTTTGCCCAGATCCTCAGAGGAATCACTATCTATGGCAGCTATAACCTTACAATCTGTATTTCAGAAATAATGAGACTTGAAAATCAAAATTACTCCAATCTGTTTTTGTCACCTAAATACAATCTGCTTCTGTCATCTAAATGAAAGCAATCAAAATATACATCATCAAAAAGTCTACAAACAATAAATGCTGGAGAGAGTGTGCAGAAAAAGGAACCCTCCTACGCTGTTGGTGGGAATGTAAATTGGTGCAGCCACTATGGAGGTCCCTTAAAAAACTGAAAATAGACTCATCGTATGATCCAGCAATCCCACTCCTGGGCATATATCCAGAGATAACTCTAATTCAAAATGATACGTGCACCTCAATGTTCACAACAGCACTATGTACAATAGCAAGACATGGAAACAACCTTAATGCCCACTGACAGATGACTGGATAAAGAAGTTGTGGTGTATACATATGAATAATGGAATACTACTCGGCCATAAAAAGAATAAAATCATGCCATTTGCAACAACATGGATGAACCTGGAGATTGTCATACTAAGTGAAGTAAGCCAGAAATTTCTGAGAAAGAAAAATACCATATGATGTTACTTATATGTGGAATCTAAAATAGTTTGACACAAATGAACTTATTTACAAAACAGAAAGAGACTCACAGACATAGAAAACAAATGTATGGTTACCAAAGGGGAAAGGGAAGGGAGGGATAAATTAGGAATTTTAATAATAATAATAATAATAATAATAATAATAATAATAATAATAATAATATATTATTTCTCCATGATATAATTGTCCTATAGGATTATAACAGTAGCTAGCCCTTATGGTGCATTTTTTACAAGCCAGATACTTTTTTAAGCGACTTACATGTCAGCGATCTCATTTTCATAGAGATGCATATTATTATTATTATACTCATTTCATAGAGGTACTGACTCTGTACCCTTGCTCATTTCTTTCAAGGATCCCTGGACATTGAAAAGGAGTGAAAGGGCACAAATGAACTTATATACAAAACAGAGACAAGACTCAAAAACATGGAAAACAAACTTATGGTTAGTTGGGGGAAAGAGGGTGGGAAAGGATAAATTGGGAGTTTGGATTAGCAGATAAAAACTACTATATATAAAACAGATAAATAGCAAGGTCCTATTGTATAGTAGGGAACTATATTCAGTACCTTGTAATGGACTATAAAGAAAAGCATTGAATCACAATGCTGTACCCTAGAAATTAACACATTGTAAATTGACTGTACTTCAATAGAAAAAAAAAGTGATGTAATTACCTGGGTAGTTGCTCCTTTGGGAACCCCAATCCCTTTCTCTTCCTCCTCTCCCCAGAGCTGATCAGCTTACAAAGAAGGAGGCAGTGTTTTGGCCCCAGGCCTGGGGAGGTGTTGATGCCAGTGTGGCTGCGACTTGCTGGAGTGGGCTCCCCAGTGTCACTTAATGTTCAGAGGTCAGTTCTGCGTGTGGTGAGTCTCGAGCCTGTGATCTCCAGCCCTGCCTCCTGAAGCAGCTTTCAGCAGTGGCTTTCAGAAAGACTCTCAACTCTACCCTACAATTAGCCCTCCTCAGTAGTCATCTTTCCAGCTTCCTGAGCCTGTGTGATAGAACAAGAGAAAACTTTCCTAAACTTGATGGTAGGTGAAGAATACAAGAAAGACGTCAGAGACTGCCATGGATTTTAGAAATAGTTTAGTCGTCATAACAGCTTGAATTAGTCATGCCACGCGTATATCTTATTTATATGTTCATGTGTTAAGTGGAAAATCTTTGTGTCTTTGTTTCCCTCACAGATGAGCCCTGAGTATCAGTGAAGCAATGACCAAAAAAAAATCATTATCAATAGAAATGCCAGAACAACCTGACTTTGAATGATTCCTTCCTTTCTGCCTCCTGAGAATGCCTGAGAGAGGAGGCAGAAAGAGTGGAGAATAGTTATATTCATTGGTTGCTGAAAGCTCACCTGAAACTCTTAAAGCCACTCTCTGAGGTGGGTTTTAACACCTCTATCTTTAAAGATAAAGAAACCAATCTCCACAAAACTTAAGTATGTGAAGGTGTTCTGCACACAGCGTTCATCTCCAATTCTGTCCACTTCCAGGGATGCAGTATGAATCGCTTAATACGCTCTTTCTTCAGGTCTGTTGTGACTTACTAAGTGGACTACAGGCTGAATATTTCCTTTCAACCTCTCGCAGTGTGAAACGTTCTTGTCCTACAAATCCTAAACTCAGACAAATAATTACATTTTAAGATCTTTTTGAAGAAAACTTGAACCCTGTAAAAAAAAAAAGCAAAAAGGATAGAAGGAAGAAAGAAAGAAAACAAAAGAGCGTGCAGAGGCAAAGAAGATAGCTGATAACAGGGAGGGGAGACGCTAGGTTCAAGATATGTCTCTTCCAATATCAGGTCACTTGGCATGGGACAGGCAAGAAATAGGGGTGCAATAGGATCAAGGTTGCAATGAGGCTACCCACAGAAGAATAGCTGCTCAACCCAGAGGCAGACCTGTATTTGGTTCATTGAAAGGGTTAAGAAAGGGTTGGGCATTTGGAGGTGAGGAGAA